GGGGGGGGGGGCGAGGGGGGGTGCGGAAGTGGAGGAGCTGTCCAGGTCTTAGCCCCCACCCTGACTGGGCTGGCCTGACCAAGGACACACATCTTTGGTTTCACCATGGAAATGTAACCACTTCTGGGGTAGAAGATAGGCAACGCTAGCCACAGGATGGCAGCCAAAAGCATGGGGTGAGGGGCAACCCCAGAATGCCCATGGATAATACTAAATATAAGACTCCATTACTACTCTGAAATCGCCGCATTAGTGATCCAGAGTGCTTCTTCCCCCACCCAAGGCCACTCTGCCCTTTAACTATTAATCAGGCATAACTGAGTATGCCAGGGACTTACAGGAAATAAAGGGAATCGAACTGTACATTGGGAGAGATTGAAATATTCCATCTTTGCTAAGCTACTACTTTATCTGCTGCCGTTATTACTAGTACTGCTATTGGCACCACCATTTCTACAACTGCTACTACGATTACTACTAATTAAGTTCGTAAACTACAATTTTTTACGTGCCTGGGTTTTGCCTGATGAAAAACGACGCTGGACATGGCTTTATGGAAAAGCAGAGGTAGGCTGGCACTAGAGAGCTCAAAGGGAAGAGAACAGATTTGCACTTTGGAACAGAACAAAATTATCGATATTTTTTTTTCATCCCCCAACTGCTTGGTCCCCAGCCACATCCCCAGCCACACCCAGTCACTCTTCTAACCCTACTCAGCTCCAACTGTCCATAGCTAGTTTAGGCAACTTCAAGGGTTAGAGATTAGGAGTAATGGCCTTTTGTTTGGCTAGAGGAGCTGGACCATGCCAAAACCCCACCAAATAGGATGGGAGAAGAGAGGAGAGAATGCCTTTAATATATGAGGCCACTGCCTCTGTAAACATCTCCCACCTTCTCACAGGACTGGTCCTGGCAAGACCCAGACTCTTCCTTTTTTAGAGACTTTAAATTTTCCTGTGCCAAACTTGAATTTTTAGAAATGTCTGATTTTGCCCTCAATCCCCAAAGTGAACTCTGGAATGTGTACCTCACCTTCTCGTCCCAGTACACGGGCTCCTCTTTCCGCACAGCTAGCAGGCAGCTGGTGTGAGGACCAACGCTACACAGAGCGAGAAGCAGGCAGGGAGGAGAGCAGGAATGGAGCACAGCTCCAGCCCAACCATGAACTAGGCTCCCTTTGAGATCACTTTCTTCACCTGGCAACCGAGACCCAGCAGAGCTCAGAGAGAAGAAAGTGGCATTTTGGAATCCATTTTGCTCAAGATGCTGAAGGCATCATGGCAAACTGCTCTTTCCTGCTGGGGCCAAGTGAACTTGGGGAAAGACCTTACCCACAGGGATGCAGTCAGTTGGGAGGAAGATGAGGGCCAGCTCTGAGCCAGAGATACCTGCGGAGAGCAGTCACTGGGCATGCGGTGGGTGCGGGAGGTCCACCCAGGCGCTGCTTCCCGCATTGGACCCAGGTCCACTGGGGATTGATACCGTAGTAGCACTAGTCGCCGCCAGGCCAGCTGGGTCTCCTCCTGTCTGCCCACTTATTTATAGGCGAGATTGACGATAAATGCGGGGGAAGGGACGAGGGATGACAACGAGTTTTGGAAGGTATAATGCTAAAAAGTCACACTTTTTCCAAAGCGTCCCCCTCCCAGGTTCTCCTTTCCCGGAACAGCACGGTCCCAGCGGGGAGGATGCATCGCAGGCTCGCCGCAGCGGTCGGCGGCGACCCAGAGTCCGGAGCCGGGGAATGGGGACCCGCGCCGGGCGGGAGGCGGGGAGGGCCCGGGGAGGAGGGGCCGGGCGCGCGGCGCCGCTCACCTGCCAGGCTGTTGTAGCAGTCGATCTCGATGGCTTCCACCGTCTTGCTCTGCTCCTCCGAGAGGCGGCCAGGGTTGGAGGCCCCGGCCGGGGAGGCCGCGCGCGAGTCCCGCTCCTGTTCCCCGAGGGCGGGCTGCAGCCCCTTCAGCTCCAACAATGCCCGGTGGTATTTGCCGATGGCTTCGCGGAATTTCTTGTCCTTGTAGCACTGCGCTCCTTGGTTCTTGAACTCGTGCGCGCGCCGAATAAACTCGGCGGGCTCGGCCGCCGCCCCAGCCTGGCCCCGCGCGGGGGCCCCTCCGCAGCCGCCCGGGGCGCACAGAGGCGGCGGCGGCCGCTGCGCCTCGCCGGTGGCCACGGGTGGGCTCGGGTTCCCCTTGGTCCCGGCCGCCGAGCCCTTCCTCTCCATTCGGCAGCCGCCCGGCGCCCCGCGCGCGCCGCGATCCTGCCGCCGCCGCGCCCTCCCGGGTTTAAACGCGGCGGGCGCCCGCCCGGCGTCTGGCAAGCTCGGCCGCGGCCGTGACACCCCGCGGCGGTCTGCCGCCCCGCACTCCCATTCTCCTCGCCAGCGGCAGGAGGCTGTTCTCTCCTCCTCCTCCTCCTCCGGGCGCCTTCCCCTCCTTCCCGCCCTCCTTCCCTCCCCCACTCCCGCGCCGCCCGCCCTCCTCCTCGCCCTCCTCCCCTCCCGCAACCTGCGGGGGGTGGCGACCTGGCCCTCGGGCGCTCGGAGGCTAGCGGGATCGGGGACCGCGGGCTTGACTGGGGTGGCGGGGATGGTCGCTGACCCGGAAGAAGCTTGTCTCGCCTGAAGGAGGGGAGGATTAATGACAAAGACGACCCGGTCCTTTCCCATTCAATCCAGCCCAGGGAGACGCGCCTAGTCGGAGACCAATGGAGGAAGGGGTGTGTGTGTGTGTGTGTGTGTGTGTGTGTGTGTGTGTGTGTGTGTGTAGGGGTGTGTGTATCTGTCTGTCTTTAGGGAGTGGGGAGAGGTGTGTGTGTGTGTGTGTGTGTGTGTGTGTCTTTAGGGAGTGGGGACGCCAGCGACGAAATGCATGCAGACTCACCCTCAATAGATTTCTTAGAAACTAAAAAGAAAGGTGCGGCGGGGAGCAAGGGGCGTAGGCACAAGCTATAGCTTCTGTTCTTTGCAGTAAGGCATTAATATTTTTAAGGCGGCAGGGCCTCTTTTTTGTGAATCCAGGTTGTCGCTGAGGCGTGTCTCCGTACGCGGCCGCCGGGGCACCCAGCACACAGTGCATTTCAGCGTGTGGGGCGTTGTGCTCCAGAAGCCTCCGTGTGCTGACACCTCGGTGTGCAAGCAGCTGTGCAGAATGAGTCACGGATATCAGAGATGGAAAACACCTGTTGCTGTTGGTCATCAGGCTTGGCGTGCATGCGGCCCAGTTTCCATTTACAGGACGGTTCCCTGCCTTTACTCAGGATGCCATTCCTTACTTCATTCATTCTTACAGTCAGCCCTGAGTGTCGGCTCTCTGCTGAGGATTTGCTCAGACCAAGGGGGCAGACAAAAATAGATAGGCAAGTGAGTTCCCTGCTGTCTATTAACTCACAGTCTACCAGGGGAGAGACACCACCCACCCTTAAAGTCACTCTACCAGGTAGAGAGCTGAGTGTGTTACCAGGGAGGAACAGAAAGTGCTGTTCCTCTGGTACCCAGACATATTGTTAATATTTTGATGTAATCCCTTCAGATTGTTTTCTACACATCTGTATTTGTAGGAAGTCCTGTTTTAACAAATGTGTGGTATGAGATGATATATACAGTTTCCTGCTCTTTTTTATAGTATATGTGATTAAATAGCCTTTTCAAGCCTCATTTTTAATTGCTTCATAATATTCACTTTATATCTGTGTTATAGTGTACTTAACCATTTTTCTATGGTCAGACAGATTGATTCCAATCATTTGCTATTACATAGAATACTGACACAAAAATAATAGATACCATTTATATATGTTGCTTACTTTGTTGAGCACTGGGTGAAGCACTTTACAGATAATTCATTGAATCCTCATAACAACCCCAGTGAAATGGGCACTATTATCCTCATTTTGGATACCAGGTCACAGAGACTTGCCTAAGGCTACACTGTAATAAGTATCGGAGCTGGAATCTAAATCCAAGCATTCTGGTTTCAGAATCTATGCTCTTAACTATATTTATACTTAAGTTTTTATCCTAATTTATTTTTCCTTACAAGAAATTATGATGTCAGTTTTTTTAAATGTCTTGTAACATATTGTCAGTTTGCTTTGTAGAAAGGTTGTACTAACTCGTGCTCCCATCAGCAATGTACTAGTTTCTCAACATCCTTGCCAACACTGAGGGTTAAACTGTAAAAATGTTTTCTCATTTAATAAATGAGAACTTTATACTGAATGAACTGGAATCCCTTTAATTATAACTTTTCACATGTATAATTGCCATTTATGTATTACTAAGAGCCCTTATTTGGACATAATGTACTAAATTATACCTTATAAGTTACAGCACCTTACTTTCCTAAGTGCTTGAACATCTTTAATCTCATTTAATCCTCAGCTTAGCCCCAGAGAAGGAAAACGATTTTCTACTCACACAGTGGTTTCTGACCTGTGAGACATCATATTAGTTCAGTGGGTAAGAGGCTTTAGGCCCAGGGAGGTGTGGGCAGGAGTTCTATCTTTACTTCTTCCTGGGCAAGTTATTCAATTTCTGAAAACTTCAAATTTTCTCTTATTAAATGGGGGATACTACCTACTTCATAGAGTTGTTGTAAAGCACACTATAAGTGCTTAACAGATGGTAACTTTAATCATTATTCATTAAATCCAGTCATTATTGGATCCCGTAAAAAACTCTATGGCAGACTCTAGTTAATCCATATTTGCCAACATCTGGCCCTTCATACTTCAAGGTATTGTGCCAGGTAGAGCAAAGAGAAGATACTGGGGGTTGGATGCTCTGAGTTTTTATTGTTAACTTCCTACTCAGGTAGGAAGAGCTACTGAGAGCAAATATTGGATGAATATCCAGACCTGGTATTTGACTACTGTCAAAAATAAGATGTGAATTGGGTCATGATGGTCATGACTGTTTAAAGGTGAGAAATACTGATGTACCAAATTGCTTTTTGTTTTCCTGCTGTGTCCTGGCTTCATGGTAGAGTATCTCATTCTTAGAATTTGGGTTTGAGGACAGGTCTGCAAGAGACATGTAATCTACGTGGTACTATCTTGTGTATGAAACAGAGCTCAACACAAGAGCTTAATACTAGCGTGGGTGGAGCAGAGCATGAGTAAGGAAGGGAGGGAATATTATGGGCGGAGGGATGGAGTGAGAGGAGACTTACTATGCCCATCTGTCCCACTCTGCAGAGCTGTGTGTGTGTCTAGAAGTGTTTTGCTTGCTTGTTTTTAGTATATTTCTGTCTCTGTCTAAACCACTCTGTAAATGTGTGCTATCTTCTCAGAAATTCTCTCCTCCCTTCAAATGGAAATAAATGGGTGCCAAAGAGAATTTCTCAAACATCCTGTCATTAACTATTGACCATGTGCAGAACACTATTTTAGGAAGTGAGTAAATATCCAAATGACAGACAATTTGGGCATGATTTAGGATTCAGAAACTTAGTGCTTCTCAAACTTTAATGTGCACGTGAATCCTCTGGAGATCTTATTAAAATGCAATTCCCTGATTTCATTACTATAGGGTGGAGCCCAAGATTGTGCGTTTCTAACAAGCTACCAGGTGATGCTGAGAGCTGGCCCATGGCCCACATTTTGAGGCGCAAGTATTTAGAAGAAAGGGAAGTGCCATCTCTCCCCTTCTCTCCTGGCCTTTACCTTCTCCCAGAGAGGGCTTGTTATTAGATTGGTGAGATTCCAGGAAATTAATCGGTCTACATTTAAAGGAGAGGGGTATGAACCTCCATGCAGCTGTCTCTTCTACTTCATGCAGCAGGAATTGGTATGCTGAGCCAGGGTCTCCTCTTGGGAGCTGGCCATCCTATTTTCTCTTCCTCAAATGCGTCAATAAGTGTACTTTTTATTGCTTTTCATTTCTGGTCCAAATGTGGCAGAACAGAAGGTAGGAAGATTTGGGTGTGTAGAGGGGAGGGAAAGGCTCGTGTGACTTTTTACGGTAGGTTGCTTGCTCCAACCTTGTTTTTACAAGGTAGCTCTGCACTAAAAACTTGGGCATCTAATCAGGTGAAAATAAAGTAGTATTTTGTTCTTATCTGTTGATGGCCCTTGAATGTAGTGCTTGCTCACGAACCTCACAGGGGAAAAAGATGATTGAGCCAGAGTAGGTTTCTAGGACTCATGTTCCTTTGGCCTGATGTCCCCAAAACCTCTCCCTTCGTTCCTCACGGGCAAGCACTGCTGGGCACAGGCCAATTAGTCCTGAGGATGAGCATACCACTAATGAAATAACTCATTACTGCTGAGATATTCTGGGTGATTTCTTAGAGAAGATGTACATGGAGCGATTTTGATGGAATGAACTTGGCGTGGTACATTGCAGAAGGCACTGTGCTCCTGCTGGCTTTGTGAGTCTCAGGCTCAGTATCTGCCCTGGGTTCTGCCCTTGTTTCTGCTTCTCTGTGTCTCTGCCTTTCTCACTGCCTACTGGTCTTAGATGACTAAAGCCCCCTTCCTTTCCAAACTCACTCTGGAGCTTGCACATCTCCTAAACAGATGGCATGTGCTGCTTTTTCTCTTCCTTCAGTTTGGTTTCTTAAGCATATGTGAAAGACATATATTTGAATCTCTTTTATACTCATCTATGCTGTTCAGGGTTTGGTCACATGCCAGCCAAAACATAGCTATTTTGGGGATGTTTTTCTAATTGCATTTAATTTCACAATTTACCTGAGAAAAATTACAGAATTTCCACACCAGTTTTTATTCATATTCAATCTTTAATCATCCTTTTTTGGAAAAGTGGGAGATTTTTAACGATTTCATGCCCAGATATAGCATTAGCCATATGAGGCTAATATGAGCTTCATCCCACCATCTGACCCCTCACCTCTACCCCAACAACAAATGTCTCTACAATTCCAGAGTCCAGTTCAGTCTGGCCTTATTTAGAAAAATAAGGCTTCTTTGCCTGTCCCTACTCTCCTGCTACTCAATCTACTGTGCACACCCACAACCTTCTCATCTCCAATATCAATTGTTGCCCTTCGTGGGAGCCATGACGTCAGTTATTTGGATCAGCTAACATCCCTCCCCTAGGGGATTCTTTCTTCCCCTAGTCCAGGGGTCGGCAAACTTTTGAGACAGAAGAGCCAATCCTGTCCCTCACAACAATTTAAAAATTATTCGAGAGTCATAAAACAAATGAAATCACCATTATGTGAATATCCTTTAAAATTTTTATAAATGAAACTATGATAGTTTTATTTTCATTTTCAATTTTACTTCAGAGCTACATGTACGTACCCAAGGAGCCGCAAGTGTCTCGCGAGCCACAGTTTGCTGACCCCTGCCCTAGTCCATGTGGTCCTGGTGGAGCCATCAATCATGGTATCTGAGTTCCCCTACCACACCACTTGCTAATGCTATTACATGCTTGGCCAATCACATTGTTCCATCTTCCCACCCCACAGTGATTGGTTCAGTGAGG